TCTTTCAAGGACTCATCGAAGTGGAGCATTTATATTTTATCCTCGGGTCCCGATGATCATACCACATCCATCTGCATCATGACATCATGCGTCACGTGACGACTGGCTGACACAGCATGCAGGGATATGTTCACTTCAGTTCATTAGGTAAAGCGCAATCCTACCTGGGTATCCACTTCGATGTTCCCTTCTGAGTGCACGAATTATCTTCATATCATAGTGTCATAGTGTGGATGTGTTACTTCACTTCACAAATCTGATGGACATACATACCCACGCACGAAGTAGTGTCCATTCTGGCGGCCAGTTGACATTTCGCAACGCCATACACACACATACATACACATACATACACACCGAGCGGATGCAGGCGATTGAGAACTGAATACTGTAGCAACTGCCGTACAGTATAACACATGTACATCAGCAAAGTGCATGCATGCACTTTTTTCACAAGCTCCTGTCCGAAACCATGCCACTGTTGGATGCAGGAGTCGTCTGTTCGACTCCTGCAAAGTACAACACGGGTGCAGGGTAAATGGAGATCAGGATGTAACTTTCCCTCAGCATCAACCATGGATCATCACATCGTAATAGAGTATATGCATGTAGCTGTCGCTGACTGGCAACCCTAAGTTAACAGAGTCTGATGAATTCGAACCTGATGATGATATGGGTGCTGAACCATAAATCATCAGGTGGTGTGGATGCTAGACCTTGAAAAGTCACTGGTGTGGATGCTAGACCTTGGAAAGTCACTGGAAGTCAGCAAGAACGTTGGCATGGCTGACAAGGATGAGGATGCCTCAAAACATTGGCGAAGGTACAGGGACTGCCAGGCGAGTAGTCAAAGATGACGCTTTGACTTCCCTCTTCAGCTGTTTGATACGATTATTAATGTACATTCCCCTAGGCCTGGCGAGCTCATACTGTTGCATGGATGGGTTGGGGAATATCAGAGAATGCGTTTTAGCAGCATGCAGTTGCTCACAGCAGAGTTTTACTACTGCTTCTGCTACATTGTGCCCGTTGCAAATATGCAACACAGTTTGGTCCGACACATCGGCAGA